TAGAATTGTCTTTGTCTTGTCATTTTTATAATAAAATACACTTGCTGCGTGTTTAATTGTTTCTCCTGATTTCCAACCACAGTTCTTTATTTTCGCCTGATCAAATCGATGAGCAATACTTTTCACCGCGTTCCTTATAAAAACGTTGGTGATATTCACGTTAAACTTGCGATACATTTTCATTGTCTGAATAAAAAAGGCAAATTATTCCAAGTTTTTGATCTTCCGAATAACCCGAATTAAAAAGCAAAGAAATTATAAATAGTGATACTGTTACTTGCCGAGCTATCAAAACGTATAAACAATATTTTGTTTTCCAATGCAATAATGACGGTTATAATTAAATTTTCCTTTTAAATAATAAGCCAGGGTTATTTCAAAAAGTGCTAAACCAAAGACCGTCAAACTATATATTTTTGACATCGGGTTAAAAAGAACTCGAATATTAAGGGTAAATATACTGGATGTTCAGTTTAAAAAAGTGAAATTGTTAATTTTAAGAACATTCAGAAGATGACAGAGAAAAAATCATACTACTTTTGTATATGAAGTTCTTGCTTATTCGCTTAATAAACTCAGGGTATCCCATTTTGGAAACTTGTACGGAGTATCTCAGTTATTTTTAAATATAGATAGATAAAATTATCATGAACCCCTTGGTTTTTGAAATGAAGGGGAAATCTAAAACTATCGATTTTGGATATCTTCGTTGTCTTAGGAGTTATTGAAAACTTTAAAAAACGTTTATATAGGGTTTTTGCGTTGAATCTAGTGACGTCGTTTGCTCGACTCATTTTTTAGTTATGAAGTTATTTTTTACTTTAAATCGAATTCAAAAATGTATATTATTATAAGGTTGTTTGGAAGTTAAGCTCAAAATCCATGTTTTTTTCATTTTTTACTTTATTTGTAGCCGTAGGCCATAGTAAATCAACTAGATCAACTAAAAATAAGATACATCTAAGCAGTTATTACTATACAAGAGACTATTTAGCTTGTTTTGAAAAAATAGGATAAAAATATAGTTTTTTAAAATAATAATATTTCATTAATATGATAAATATATTATTATATGATAAATATTATTATATTACAACACGTAAGGTTTTTAAAGAGATATAGTCAGTATAATTTTTATATTATAGAAATTTGTTTTGTTTGTATTAGATATCCAGAGTGACGACAACCGTTTCCAGATATATCTGCTAGCTTGAAAATAAATCTAGGATCCCTTATTCAACCGCGTCGTAAAAAATATTTGACGGAGAATACGGAGTAAACAGAAACAAATGTATTAGGTCAAATAGAAGCCACGCCGTCATCATCTTGCAAAATACATAGAACAAAAAGTAAGGGGTACCAAATTCCACTGCTCAAAGAATTAAAAAAAAAACAACACAGCAACAACAGTTGTTTTATTTTGGGACAAAGAATAGCCTACCGAAGTTATGAAGGAGGTCTTTTACCATGTAGGTACTTCTTGGGGAAGTCATTCCAGAATTACTCGAAGATGTTCCCCTAGTAAATTATAATGATATATACCTTCAGCAAAATGGTGCCTCAAGTCATAACTTTAGACATTTAAGACCATTTTGATGAAAACTTCCCTCAAAAATGGATAGGTCGAACGTACCTGTAAGATCACTTCCACTATCTCCGGATCTTTAGTTTTAGATTTCTTTTTATGGGAGTATATACAAAATAAAGTGTATAAAACACAATACGAGTTTGCAGAATTTCGAGGGGCAGTTGATTTAACTTTCGAAACTCTACGAAGAAGACAAATAATCCTTTTAAAGCCTTTAAAAACATAAGAAAAACGTGCTAGTTTTGCATTCGAGAAAATGGTCTTCAATTTGAACAATAGTTTTAAATGAAATACTATGCTAATATTCTTGAGACATAATGTTATTTCGTATTAATTAATATGATAATGGAGTACAACAAAGTTGAAAATAATAAAAAAAAAATGTAGTTCATAACGTATAAGACACATTTAAATAATTGAATTTTAAAGTATGGAGTCTCTTGTATGTCAATAATTGTTTACTTGGATATTGTTTTTATTAGAATAATTACCGCCTACTGCTACAAATAAAATAAAATATGAAAAAAAAAATAAAACTTAATTTTCGAAACAAAGCTTAAACGATTTCCAAAAATGTAAAATATTAGATACAGGGTGTTTCATTAAAACAAAATGTTTGCTTCATCACTGAGAAACGGTCAGAGCAACTAAAAAACAAACTGGTTTCTACGGAAATTCTATAAGAACATTTTTTGAACTGTTCAATACCTGAATAGGAACGGCGCTCCCAAAATCCAGAATTTTGGATCTGTATCTCAAAAATCAAGAGGGCCATGATAATTTTGTTGACTGCATCTTTACTTTCACTAAAGAGGCGCACAGGGTCGAGTAAACCGCAACCTCCTATCTTAAAAAATACCCGAGATACCCCATAAAAGTGCCAAGCATCCCGCTTAAATTTTGTATCAATCAGTCAATATATAAAGGATGTCCAAAAGATATTCGCCACTGGATGTATAGAAATTGTACAAAAATGATAGTCAATGCATATAATAATAATTATAATGTACGGACTTTGACATATCCAATGGATGTCCTGTACTATCCTGGTTAATTATTCATAAAACCGTTACCAACAACGATATGGATGAGTAAATAGATTGTTGAATAAGCCAACTGCCCTAAACTCTAAAATCACTAACTAACGAATTCCGAAAAGATTTTGATATAAGTAAAGAAAACTAAAACACCAAAATAACTTTTAAAAGGATTCAAAAATATTTTGATCATATACGAATAACTATAAGTTCTTTGAACCTACTACATAAACCCAAATATTTTTTATTGTAAAAAATGACGTAAATCAATTTTTCGCACTTACAAACGTAATTTCCTTTAACCATAATATTAATATTTCGATGCACCTGAGACCTGTACGTCTACACTGATTTTTCTAAGGCTTTTGGCAAGGTTCCTCACCCCACTTTGGTAAAAAAGCTTGGAACTTCGGTGTGATTGGCAACTTACTCCATTTTTTGCAAAGTTGACAAAAAACGTGCCACACTGAGATCGCAGGGGTTTTTACTTTTTACTATTTTTATTTTCTTATTTGATATTGATATTGTTTTCAACATTCGGTACCAGTTTCATTCGCAGATGATTAAGAAGTAAGAAAACAAATCCATACTCAATCGGGCATTTTGGAATTCCAGAATGATCTCGATAGGTATACTGTTTACCGTAAAAATCAGAACCCCTTAACATTGACTTAAAATTAGACAAAACAAAACTATTAAAGATTTAGGCATCATACTCAGTTAACGTTTGAAGTGCGTTAGAAAATATTCTAAAGAAAGGCTTGATAAATCTTGGTTTTGTATTAGCAACTAGAAATCAGTCATTATAATTTTTAAAAACGACATTAGGTCAATCTTGGAATGCTGGTATCTGATCTATCGCAAGTATAGTCGGTATGATTTGCAATGGAATAGTCCATCATAAAATGAAGAGAGAAAGTGCCTCCACTAGTATACTACTACACCAGATAGCACCAATTATCTGATAATTACACCAGTTTTCACTACAAACAGGGTTGCATTTTTGAAAAACTGCCGAAAGTGGAAATGCCGTCTATAATTATTATGAAAAATACACGATGTTATTCTGGATTTAGTAAAACCAAAGTTTCCAGGATTAATATTTTGATTCTGTAAATTTTGGCGAAATGCATAGACAAGCAAAGAAAAAATTATTAATTGACTGCGCAGCGGATTAACTACCCAGAAAGTGGTCTAAGATTTGAATTGTTAAAAATAATTGCTGAAATGGGTTAACAAGTTTTAAGGTTGACTCCCTATCATTGTATATTTAACGCCATAGAATTGGTGTGGGCTCAGTGCAGCTCTCCAGAGAGTTTCAGTGGAAAATTGGATCAGTTTTGTAACACATACAGAAACTATAATAAAAGGTAAATTGTATTTTATGTAGTATGACATATTTTTTTAAATTTTCCGGGTTTTTTGGAATTCGGACAATAGATTCACCTACATTATCATATCATTAAGGAACATGAATACATCTCTGAGAATGGGCGTACCACTTAAATTAATAAATACCAAATATAACTGATTCTGTCTCTCGTACTGCCAAGTAATATAATCGTGATCGTTAGTGATGGCTGTCTTGCATTGATCCGTCTAAGTATAAGTGGAAGCAAGGTGAACAATCTATTTTTTTTGTCTGGAATTTTGTTGCCGACTGTGCCATCACAAATCGTATAGGATGGGATGGATGGTATCCAAATAAGGATCTTTAGAAACCACGGTGTTATGATTCGCAATCACTTGAAACACGCAGGAATTATTGAATCGCCTTTCGTACTAGGCACTTATTAGGATAGCGTTAGGATAACTTTTTCTATAGACTAATCCGATTATTTCACAAACTCTTCGCTTAGAAGGTGCGTTCGTCTCTTTAACAACTGTGCTTTAAGCCTAAATTTGTTGCAAAATTTTGTAACATTCATTTAATACTCCCTATTAGCTTAGGAAATGTATAGTTAAGTTTCTGTTTCCGCAGTCGGACAGCCTCGTCTGCCTGTTAGAGAGCCTTTGGGTTTGTCCTCAATTCCAGCAGGGCATGAGATTAAATGGCAACATATTTACGAGCGGACTCGCTAATCACTTTTATAACTCCATTCCGTTCGAAATTGTTTATGCAAACAATTCAATTCAAGCGCCCCTTCTCCGAGCCAATCTGTTTCAGAAAAAAATCCCGTAATTAACATCCCGTATAACGACGTAACATCCCCCCGGATCCGAGCAAGTTGCCTCGACACCCCCCAGCAACTAACGATTACGGACCGTATTCTAACGCGCGAGCCAATAGAATCGCGCCGATCTAACTAAAAGGCGGTCCTTCGGCTACTTTTACTACCGCAGTAGGCTTTGACTTCTCCATCAGGACGCTCTACCTCAGTTCATCACCGCTCGCCGCGCTTTCTGCAGCGAGTTGTCAATCAAAACGCGTCGCACTCCCCCTCTCTCTGTTCATCCGACGGGACGTTTTCGTTTATCCGGTGCCGTGTTTGTGCGAGAAGCGAACGAAATGAACGTCGGCGAATTTCTCGGCCCGGGTGCAAAGCAAGGTGATGTCGCCGATTTGGGCGACCACGCACGAGACTCACGGACGGACGGTTCTTTTGTTTCAGTTTTCCAACAAACCTACCACGTCACCCAAGTGAAACAGGAAGCGGACTCTACTTCTCCGCTTTTAACCCCGACGTATCCGCAGTTATCGCCACCCATCGCCCCGCATACCCCCGAAACTTGGTACCGACAGCCGGAAATCATCGAATCCGCCTTCGCTCCGAGGCAAATGATGCCGTATCCCAGCTACAACGCGGTATTCATGAACCAGTGGCTGAGGAACGCCGCGATGTATCACCAAACCAGGAACCACGACTGGAGAAGTCCGGGGAGGCCCCCGCTGCTTCCCCCGAAAGTCGGGGGATCTGCGAGGCCCAAGAAACAGTTCATCTGCAAGTACTGCAACAGGCAGTTCACCAAGAGTTACAATTTGCTGATCCACGAGCGCACCCACACCGACGAGCGACCCTACAGTTGTGATATTTGCGGCAAGGCGTTCAGGAGGCAGGACCACTTGCGGGACCACAGGTAATCAACTCCCGCTCACGTAAAATTAATTCAGCCGCAACGAAACGTTCGTCGATACAGGTACATACACTCCAAGGAGAAACCGTTCAAATGTACCGAGTGCGGCAAAGGTTTCTGCCAATCGAGGACGCTGGCGGTCCACAAAATTCTCCACATGGAAGAGTCGCCCCACAAGTGTCCTGTCTGCGGCAAGTCCTTTAACCAAAGGTCGAACCTGAAGACGCACATGTTGACGCACACGGAAAGGCCTCTCGAATGTCAGTTTTGTGCGCAGTTTTTCGGGTCGTATCACGATTTGAAGAACCACGAAGTGTTCCAGTGCCCGTCGAGGAATAATCCAAGTTCGGTAGTCGAGAAAAGCGTTAACCTGCTAGATTTAAGCAAGAAAGATCTAGAAGGAAGCTCCACGAAATCGGACACCAAAGTAAAAAAGTTAGGGTTTTCCATAGAAGATATAATGAAACGGTAGGATGTGTGGAGTATGTTGTCATTATTTGTTGCCAAAGATTTTGAGTGGTGCGTCGCTACCTCGGTTCCCAAGACTGACTTGCTTTTCCCTCTGAGAGTTACCGCTGCTCCAAAAAACGTTCGTGTATTTTTTAGTACCTGGTATGATTTTTAGGCTTAGATTTAGCGCCCGCTCTGTTCATATTGTACAGTATTATCGTAAAGTATATTACCTCTGTAATTAATTTATTGTTGGTAGTTTTAAGGATTTTTCTCAATAATAAATTGGAAAATTACGTTTATATCAATTTTCCCGGCGTACTTATTTCCCGGTGTTCTCTGACGCTGAATAATGAAACGAGAGACATTTGGGAATTCGGTAGGTCTCCTTTGCGCAAAAGTTACATTTTTCTTAAGTTTGCAATTAATTAAAATAAATAAATTAAACAAGTGCTAGAAAAAGCTTTCTAGCTCCAATGTTATCTATTGATGAAGTAAGTTCTATTGAATTATCCTTAATAGTAAGTAAAATGCATTTTCGCTGTTGAACTTGCAAATACGTAAAAATATTTCAGTTAAATAATAATAAAAATAATTATCCTGCGTAGGTGGTTCAAAAACATTTTTTTTTACAAAAGATTATTTCAAAAATAATAAATATGTATAAAAGTGGTTGAAAAAAATTAGTCCATAATTTCTATTCGAAGATCTTATACACAAAACAATTTCAAAAAGGAACAGCAATTTTCACAGTTTAGTAGGTTGAAACATTGTTGATAATTTTGTAGTATAATACGTATGCGCAATAAGTGGCTGAAGAATATACTGTCACTTATAAGTATATTCGAAAATTTTAAACCAAAATTTAAATAGAAAAAGTATTTTTTTTACAGTTTAATACAATTACAATTAATTCTATTTGAAGATTTAATATGAAAAATTACTTTTAAAAAAAGTATTTATTCACACTCTAGTGGGTAGTAAATGCGAAAGAAGGTGGTTTAAAAAATAATATTAAGTGGCTGACAAAAATGTAACAAAAAATTATTTTAAAATTTAAATTTTCTACAGTTTAGTGATCTTTTACCTTAATGTTTCGTTGCTTATAAATTAAGGTGTTATTATGACACCTGCCTGCTACAACTGGAAAATCATGACTTAATAATTTTAAACGAATAACATTTTCTTCCTTGGTGATGGGTTTAAATTTCAAAATAACTTTATTTTTTAATGATACCGTTTTTCAGCGAATCTATTTGAATTAAGAGAAAACATGCTAATGAGTTTAAAAAAAGTTTAGTTGTTTAATGAGTAAATTATTTTGTTAATTTTAATGATGCAACGAAGTATCACCTTTAACAAGAATGATGTGGCCGGTAAAATGTTATGCTTAAAAAAAGCATAGGCAATCAAGAAAATAAAGTTTTAGGTATTGCAAATGTAAACATTTGTTGCCATTAGACACATATAAAAAATGGTTTTGTGCCTTTTTAGCCCCTTTTCCAATACCCAAAACAAAAAGCTGGTTTTAATTATAAGTTGGTTTGTTCCGTTACCTACTCATTATATTTACCTGGAGCCATTAATCATGGGGATTGCATTACAAATGAAAAATTCTAACTACAAATTATACAATGTGAGGTTCTAAATACGGCTTTTAAGATTTACCGGATAATTAACCCACCCAATAAATGAACAATAAAAAATGCCAAATTATAGACTGCGTATAACCCAAATCTTTAGTAATTTCCAGCCACAAATGATGTAATTATTCTCGTGTATTATATAACGAAATGTAGAACTGAGTTCCTCGGTATCCGATAACTCGCGCCATCTGGACGACTTTAACACAAGCGTCAGGCTAATTCGAGAGCCACCAGATACCGTCGCATGTACGGATATAGGTTGAGAAAGATTTTACACACAAATATGAGACGCTGCTATTGTTGCCCATTCAGTTTCAATCCAATTGTACAAAATATTATTACATGAATCGCTATGATTCGTCTTTTTTTACCACCGGAATAAAGGTTTATGCAAATTAAAATTTTCACAAGTCACTTGTTAAAATTAAATTACCCATGAGATATCGACTGAACGGAAGGATAGTGCCTAATATGACATAGTCTGTACATTTTTGTTGCTCTGAGAGAAACTAACGGGTTAATTTTTAAATTTATTTGCAAGTTGTAAAATAGAGCGTTTGGACAATGTCTTTTGAAAATATAGATACTATATTGTTTTAAACAGACGTAGAGATAAAATTACATTCCGTTAGTTTGTTCTTTTAATCGCATTTAAAAAAAAAATGCAGAGTTTCCCACGGTGTCCGTTCAGTAGAACTTTTATGAGAACCAAATTCTAATGGACGGTCACCTTGGAAAACTCTGATGTTTTTATATATAGAAATCAAAAACTTAATTAACATAGCACATAATTAAAGGCAAATTTGAAAGTTGTTAAATAACTATTAAATACCCTACTTAATTTGTTAATTATTTTATTCGGTCCATATTTGTAAAATAAACTTTTTGTGTTTTTCATATCTTTTTTTTTTTGCTTCCACCTTAATTTAACTTGATGCAAGAAATGAAGTGCTGGGAGTATCAGGGGACCCCTGGGTACTTGTCTTTTTGATTGAAATTGAAGATATTGCGTGTGATGTAATTGTGTAAGTCCCAATAAATCGGAAGTAAAGTATTAATGGTTCTTTAACTTTCTGTGTGGATATTTTAGTGTACAAGTTGTGAAATATGCAGTCCTTTGCTTTTATATGACAGAAATATGTACTGGTTTTGAAAAAATAGATCCCATGCCATTTTAGGGAGGCGTAGGAGTAAAATGACATTCCTTGAATTTAATAACTTTAACTACATTAAAAAAAATGTTTTTATACATAGAAGTCAAAAACTCAACAGCATAAAATTAAATTAATCTAAATTTGAAAGTGTTAAATAACGATAGCAACTCTATACATGCGTACTATATAAGTGATGGAAGATGGTAGATCCACTTTCCTATCACCAAATTGGTTAAAGCTGTAGTCACAAGACAAGAAGAAGTCCACTTTACGAGTGCAACATTCTGCGATATTGCTAAAGGGTTCGGCTACGTGTAGTATTCGACTATATTAAAAAAATTAAAATATTACAATCTTGACATCTTTCTCATATATATCAACGACCTTGCTGAATCCCTTTTGAATGGTTGGCTGGCATTGTTTGCCGACGACACTACTTTTTTAATAAATTAAAAAATATATTATAAATAAAATAAATTGTTTCTTTATTATTCTCTCAAAGGCACACCAACGAAGTAAATAATGGACAAAGTGCAAAATTCTTAGGAATTCATTTAGACCCTAAACTAAATACTTACCCTAAAGGGCGATGCAGATTGTGACATATTATTGACAGCATATCATGTTCTAATTGGCATCCACTTGGTTTATGGTCTAATAAACTGCCACAAAAGTCTTCCGCCTACAACGTAGGATAATTAGACTAATCACAAACAGAGAGCTTAAAGTTCTTACACTGTCAACCGCTTAAATATTCAGTGTCTAGTATACGCTCACCCTTACAAAATACGGAATAGGGACAATCTCATCCTGATTGCTTCCGTCTTAATGCGAGTAGGCTAGGTTGTGATTACTACTGCATCCACTTTTTTAATAAACTTAAGCCCTAGACAAAACAACTCTCAATAAAAAGGTTCAAAAACTTAGTGAGAGGATCTTAAAAAAAGCAATCCTTTTGCAGCAGGGAGTATTATGATTGATTTCGGTGATAAGTTTATATGATAATCGTCGTTCGACTGTAATGTATGTTCAAATGGCCGCAGAGCACTTTATTAATAGTAATAATAAATCTTTATTGAGATATTATTGCACAATATTTAGACAAAATTACTTAATATCTATATAAACTAATATAGTTCCATATCTCAAACAGCGAAGTCTTGCTTAAGATCTTGATCTCAGCTTCTCAACATTAACCGAATATTACAATAATAATGAAACAACAAGCTATAATAATAATAAGAGTATAAAAGTTTATTATGGATAAAATATTGATTTGTTTAGGACTTTTGTAATTTCAGTAAATGGACCTTCATTTCTGTCCTAAATGCTAGAAAATAAACGAGTGAGTTAAAAAGTTTACCGAACGTGTTTCAAACTATATTTTTTCTACGACCGTTAGTTTTTGGGTACATTTTCTCCAAACATCACTAATACATTCACTGACATGACTGTCAGAATTGATAAACGTCAAAATTCAAAGCGTGGGAAATATCTCCGAAAACCAATAGCTCCCAAATCCGTACGGTAAAATCCCGGAAATGTCCGAAGTGGTTCGGATTCATGGGAAATGAAACTGACGTGGTAAAGTGACGCTTCCCGCACGCTAGATCGATGGGTAATTAGGTATTTATTCTATTCCCGTCTGTACGTCATTTTGGGCACTAACATTTACCCGCTTTTTTACATTTCTTCTTCCTTTACTTTTTCTAACTTTGCGTATATTTTCCGTTGAATTTCTGTAAGAAAAGGATACCCAGAATTGTTTGTTTGTAAAATCGACGTTTTTTTCATGTATTAGGTCGCAAGTTCTTGTGTATTCTTCCTCGCCTGCACAGCGAAGAATTAGTAGGTTCAGCAATATCGTAATATGAGGAACCAGTTTTAGGACTATGAATTATGGGACTATGAAAAGTGTCATTGTGTTTTTCCACAGCTCTAGAACGACCTTTTTTACCTGACACGTTATTATGATAAATATAAAATAGAAGAATGATTTCTTTCCTTAGAAGTACCGTGTGAAATGTATATTTACATAACTGATGTGTCTCGACATCATCCTTGGTAACCAAAACTAAAAAGTCTCCGTATTCAAAAGTACACCCCGGAAAGTTAAATATTGTTTCTGAGATTCCCAAATATGTAATCAAAATATGTAGTCAAAACAACAACGCCATATATTCCAGATACGTTTTACAAAACTTCTGGATTCCTCCTGCGTCGGTTTTTGCTGCACAAATATCCAAATTACGAAGGATTGTGGAAAACATCCACTAAACGAAATTTTTCGGCCGAGACGGACAGAGATCTTCCAAAAATTAATTCGCTTAACTATTTAATTCAGATTTTTCAATTCGCTTTTTGTTTTTGTACTAATAAAAGTAAAGTTTGTTAATTCTTTTTTTCTACTCCCGTCTGTAAAATGTCTA